CATGCCATGTAGCCTCCCAAACCCTTGTGAGGAATGGTGTTCCTGCTGCCTGGAGCAGGCCAGTGTTGTCCTGATGTAACTCCAGCTCTACCCACTGTGCAGTAGCCCTGACAGAGCCCTCTCATCTTTCCTCCTCTTTTTTTTCCTTTGCATGAGTTTGATTGTTTAGCAAAAGCCCAGCTCTGCCAGCGGGCAAAAGGTAGTCTTGCTGTGATGTGGTTGCTATTGCTGCCATCGTTAACGTATTAATGTTTCTATCAGAGCTTTGGAAGGCTGCAGGGCAATGAGCTGTGTCTCTGAGATGTTCCTTGAAGCCATTGTAAATGTTTATACCTGGCATGGTTGCCTAAGGTGAGGTCTAGGACCATTTTCAAAGAAGCCCTAAGCCAAGCACTACTGTATTGCAAACCCCAACTTCAAACAACCCCAGGACTCTGGCAGAGGGGGAGGGTTGCTTTCTGCAAGCCTATGTGATGGCTCCTTCTCATAATGCTGCTGCTGGTCAGAGGAAAAGGCACAGGCCATATTTCTAGTGCCTGCATGATAACAGTCCCAGCAATACAGGCCATGCTGGTCTAGCTGCAGGGTCCTTGCTGCACTTCCTAGTTGTGTTCTTGCATCCCTGGTCCAGGACAGCTTTAGGTACCAGGCTTCTTGAGCTTGTACTGAGGGACAGATGTCTGGGCTTCCTTTATGCCCATTCTGGGAGGTGGGCTCCATTTTCTGGCCAGACTAGCCCTTTCTGAACATCCTAACTCATAGGGAGATGGAAAACATCCCTGCCAGAGGCTGAAATACAAGACCTTTATGCTTTGGGATGGTCTTCTGATTAGCTGTACCACATTTAAGCTGTCCAAAAAAGTGTCCTCCTTGGTCACTTTGTCTCTACTACTCAGAGCTTGATGCTTGAGAGCAAGAGCTGGCTCATTAAAGGAACTCCTTATCCTCTTCACCCAGTTTTCAATGTGATCACTTGAGAACACTCTGTATATGAACACTGCATCCAAGATATATACAAAAGGGCTTTCGCACTCCATAAGCATCCACCACTCCAGCAGTCAGTAAACAGCATTGTCTTGTTAGACACGATCATTCAGGCACTTCTGATGTGTAGAAGATCACTATATTGCAATGATACTTCCTTTCTTAGAAAACAAAGCAAATAAAAAGCTGAATTTTGCAATATTTCCATTAATATTTTCAGTAATGGAGAACTGAATCCAAAAATCTTTTAAAAACTGCAGAATTGCATCAACCATGGGTTCACAAGTATTATACTATATGTAACTGTGCACTGTACCAATAGTATGCACCTGTTTATACATGCATAAGTATTGTATGAATGTTTGTGTGCAGGTATTGAATTGTTAGACTTGTTGACCTTTGTGCATACTGTTCATGCAAACTTAGAAGTCTTTAATTAAGCATAGACTTCTATGAAGTACAAGAATGATAGTGTATAAATAAGTCTGTGTTAATGTATTTGTGCATTATAGAACAAGACTATTTTATGGTATTCTGTTGCAGTACAGCCAGTTCACATGTGGTAAATAATTAAACGCCATGCTCCAGTAAAGAAACCAGGAACTCATTTGCTAGAAGTTATGGTTTATATTTTCCACATGTCTGTCCTTGCAGTCAACATTGTTTAAATGGCAAAAATTTGATACCCACAATAACATGGAAACAGCAGCATGCAAGCTGGAGCAGCTGTGGGAGGGTGCTGAATAATTAAGGTATCGACTATTTTTATGAGAGAGTGAAATTACATGCTTCCTAATGAACTCTGGTTATAGATTTACCTCAGTGCTCACTCAACCCTTGAGTGAGGATTTGGTATAGTTTTGTAAAGGTCTGTTGAGAGCTCTGTAGAAATTGCTGCATGTTATTATTTGTATTAAAACAGTGCCTAGGAGCTACAGTCAGGGACCAGGAGCTTATTGTGCTAGATGCTGCATAATGCAGATCAGGCACGCAGGCCCTCCTCTAACAGCCTCGCTCTCTTTGCAACTTGTCCTGTGACAGGTGCTTGGTTCAATCACAGAAGCGGTGGTTTAGAAGAACTGAGTTTCACTGCACATAGCCAGCTAAGCAGGCTTGTATACTGGAAAATCCAGGCTCAGAGGGGTCAGTTTGTGCCATCTTACAGTCCTGTCAGTGGATCAGACGTTTTTCTGCTATAGTTTACTGTCAGTTTGTTTTCAATAACAAAAAACATGGAATATCACCCCCTGCCTCCAAATGCATGAGTTTATGAAATGAACAAACATAGCTCCTACCAGCTCCCTTGATTTCATAGAATTCACAGATTTTATGGACATGAGGGCTGGAAGGGACCTTGGAAGATCATCAAGTCCAGCCCCCTGCCCCAGGGGCAGGAAGTCAGCTGGGGTCATAGGATCCCAGCAAGATAAACATCCAAATTTCTCTTGAAGGCATTCAAAGTGGGTGCTTGAACAGCCTCCGGTGGCAGTCTATCCCAGACCTTGGGGGTTCAGACAGTAAAGAATTTCGTCCTTATGTCCAGCCTGAAACGGTCATGGAGGAGTTTGTGACCATTTGATCTTGTTGTCCCTTGGGGCACTCTGGTGAAACAGATGTTTCCCCAGATCCTGGTGAGCACCCCTGATAAACTTGTAGGCAGCCAGCAGATCACCCCTGAGCCTGTGCTTTTCCAGGCTGCAGAGTCCCTTCGCTCTTAGCCTGTCGTCGTAAGGTCTGTTTTCCTGCCCTCTGATCATGTGTGTGGCTCTCCTCTGGACTCTCTCAAGCTTCTCCACATCCTTCTTGAATTGTGGAGCCCAAAACTGGACGCAGTACTCCAGCTGCGGCCTCGCCAAGGCTGAGTACAACGGAAGAACGACATCCTGGGATTTGCTTGAGAAGCACCTATGGATGCAAGCCAGTGTTTTGCTTGCTTTACAGCCACAGCATCACATTGATGGCTCATGTTCATCTTGTGGTCAGCCATGACCCCCAAGTCCCTTTTGACCATAGTGCTAGCCAGCGTAGCTCTGCTGAGCCTATAAGCATACTGCGGGTTTTTCTTCCCAAGGTGGAGAACCTTGCATTTTTTGGTGTTAAGCACCATCAGATTCTCATCCGCCCATTTCCTGAGCCTGTCAAGGTCAGCCTGGATCGCCCTTCTGTCCTCAGGTGTGGATGCTTTGCCCCAAAGTTTGGTGTCATCAGCGAGCTTGGCCAGTCCGCTTCTGATACCAATGTCCACATCATTAATGAAGATGTTGACTAGTGTTGGCCCAAGGACAGAGCCTTGAGGGACCCCACTGGTCACAGGGCACCATGATGATCGACTTCCATCAACCACCACCCTCTGGGTCCAACCATGAAGCCAATTCCCCAGCCAGTGGATCATGCTAAAGCTGAGGCCGCAGTTGGCCAGTTTTGCTAAGAGGTGATCATGGGATACCTGATTGAAGGCTTTTTTAAAGTCAAGATATACGACATCAATCTCTTCTCCCTTGTCCAGGTGATAGGTCACCTGGTCATAAAAGGAAATAAGATTGGTCAAGCAAGACCTACCTGCAACAAACCTGTGCTGGCTGTCCCTCAGGATGCTGCTATCGGCCAGTCTGTTAAGAATGGACTCTTTGATAATCGTTTCTAAGACTTTCCTCGGAATAGAGGTCAGGTTGATGGGCCTGTAGCTTGCCAGATCCACTTTCCTCCCTTTCTTGAAGATAGGTACCACATTGGCCTTCTTCCAATCATTGGGCACTTCATCAGAGTGCCGGGAGTTCTCGAAGATCCGTGCCAGGGGCTGAGCTATGATGCTTGCCAGCTCCTTGAGTACCCTGGGGTGTAAACTGTCAGGGCTGGCTGACTGGAAGATGTCCAGCCTCTCAAGGTGTTCCTTCACAAGGTCAGCATTGATGGAGGGTAAGCAAGCACCCTCACCCAGGCGTTCCCATCCCGTAATGGGCAGAGGCATCCCTTGGGACTGGTGAAAAAACGGCAGAAAGTACCCATTTATGATCCAATTCTCTTCCTGCAGAGAAACTCCCAAACATATCTGCCTGTGTCTTTACCACCAGAACCTCACTGAGAAATTCAGAAGCAGGGAATTTCAAAGGCAAGATCAGCAAGATCCTCCAATCAGCATGTTTGGTTACATATCTGCATAGCCATTAAAAGCATTCAAGTGTTGTATGCTGTCTGGTAGTGCTGTATTTTTTTCAAAATAAATTGGACATAATATTCCTAATGTGTTTATTGCATTCTTTTCCCCTAAAGGAAGAAATACACACCTGTGCACGCTTGCTCACTTTCTCTCTTACACACACACACACACACACACACACACACACACTTTAGAATATGGGCAGAAACCTATTGTCCACACTTCCTGATATACATTTGATCATCATCTCTAGAAGACTCAGGCCTTTGCTGTGCCTAGCACAGAAGTACTAAAGGAACAGTTCTATTATCTTGACAGCCAGTAGTTGTTTTGGCCTGTGGCATAATGCAAAGAAGCTTTAGAGACAGGAAATAAGGTGGCGTATGCCGAGCTTTGTCATGCAGTGCAGTACTGCCAGCATAAGAATTTTGTCACTAAATTTAGGATTTCTAGACACAAAATGTATATTCTAAAGCTTTTTTATGACTTTACTATGTCTTATATTTGTAACCCAGGTGCACCTCAAAATGTGCATTCTCCCCCTTCAATTGGAGGAGATAAAGTAGTCAGGTAAGAGTGCTGTGAGAAGGGTCTTCTGTGCAGACCAGCCCCTCCTCTCCCCCCTGCCTTCTTATACTCTATAGAGTCGGGCCAGGATAGCTTAACTATTTACAGGTTTATTAATATACAGGTAACAATATTTACAGATTTAAAGTATTGGTAAATATATACAGTATAAAGATCACTCAAATACCATTAAGCTCTACAAGCAAAGACCCAAGTAACCACCACCTCAAGAGGGCTTGGGTCCCTATGCAGGTAAGCAGCTGTTAGCAACCGGTAAGTATAACAAAGACAGATGAACACAGGTATCAACAGGTAAGTTTAGACAAGAACAACAACAATAAGTAAATACAGGCAAATCGTAAATAGATGACATAACCCAGGTCACATTACAGGATAACAAAACATAAATAACTATTTACAAATATGAGGTGCATGTCCCATCCCCTTCCAGGTACCCATGTGGCCAGATCCACTGGGCGTTCCCTATGGTGCCTATCCCTGGCACCTGTCCTAGGGGGAATAATGGGAGGGTTCAGGTACCTTCTCAGGGTCCCCTCCCCCCCAGTCACTGATCTCTTGAGACTCCCCTCTCAGAGCTTCCTCCCCTGTGGGAGGGTACTCCCTGGGGAGCAGATGGGGAAGGGATCCTGGAGCCATGGGTGCCTTGTCAGGGCTACCCAGGGCCCTGCCTTCTGTCCTCAGTTGGGGCTTGGGCCCCCTTATGAGGGTCCCAAAACCCAGACCTCACCTTGTGCCCTTTGCCAGGGCTTGGGCTGCCTTGTGCAGGTCCTGAAACCCAGGCCCTGGGGGACCTCAGCCGCGCCACGCTGGTGCCTTCTGGGTGCCTGGCCTTATGCCGGGGGGTGAGGTGGGAGGTGGGTTGCAAACCTGAGCATCCACTCCCAGGATTTGGGATGCCATGCACCACTGCGTGCACCAAGTCCTTGGCCACACGCCGAGAGTAGCAGACCCGAGCCGTGTGTACCAGTGTTCTTTGCTGCATGCCAAGGGGAGTAGACCCGAGCTGCTGCATGCGGCCCCCAGGTAGTCCTGTGCTCCCAGGATCTGGTGGTCTGCTATGTGCACTGAGTATCCAGGGACCCGAGATGCTCCCTGCAGCTCCCAGGGCCTGCCCTGAGCACCATGCTGTGCACTGGCAGGGGCTGTAGCCAAAGCTGCTCGCCGCTCCAGGTCCTGCCAAGGGAGTCATTGGGGGCTCTTCTGGGCGACAACTGCTTCCCGCTGGGCAGCTCTCCCCAGCTCTTCTTAGCTCCTCTGTCGCTTCTCTGTCCCTCGACGCATCTGCGCATGCTGGGTACGCAGCTCCTTTTATTCACTCCAGAGGCTTCGCCTTGGAAGGCTTGTTGGACCTGATTGGTGGATGGGCTCCACCAATCGAAATGAAGATGCATCCACAGATGCATCATGAGCAGGTCCAAGGAGGTGATCCTCCCCCTCTACCTGACACTGGTCAGGCCACAGCTGGAGTACTGAGTCCAGTTCTGGGTGCTGCACTTCAGGAGGGATGTGGACAACATCGAGAGGGTCCAGAGGAGGGCCACTTGCATGGTCAGGGGGCAGCAGGGCAGGCCCTATGAGAAGAGGCTATGAGACCTGAACCTGTTCAGCCTCCACAAGAGACGGCTGAGAGGGGATCTGGTGGCCATCTATAAACTGGCCAAGGGAGACCAGCAGGCAGTGGGAGAGTCCCCGTTCCCCTGACCACTACTGGGAGTAACAAGGAATAATGGCCATAAGTTGATGGAGAGTAGATTCAGGCTAATTATCAGGAGGCACTACTTCACAGTCAGGGCAGCTAGGATCGGGAACCAGCTTCCAAGGGAAGTGGTGCTCACTCCTACCATGGGGGTGTTCAAAAGGAGGCTAGATAGACACCTTGCTGGGGTTGTTTGACCCCAGCATCCTTTCCTGCCCATGGCAGGGGGTCGGACTTGATGATCTGCTTAGGTCCCTTCTGACCCTACCAACTATGAAATCTTAGTTTCAACTTTGAAACTAAGATTTTCCGAGCCCATTTGAGCCAGGCTGAATTGGTAAGTGCACCACATATTAATAAATTGTTTTATAAAAACTGTGATGACTTTAGAAAGTCTTCCTTGTGGCATCTAGGAACTTTTTGAGGGTTAGGTGGCAAATTTCTGCTTGTAGCAAGTTGGCAGTACTGGTGCAGTGCCCAGGTGACTTGTAAACACTGTGGGGAGTGAGACAGGCTAAGAGAAAGCTCAGGCTCAGCTTCTGCTGTTCAGCAGAGCTTCATGGGTTGTGCTGGATGGTGCTGGGAGGAGCTTAGGGGTTTGTAATATGGATGGTCAGTGGCTTTGGGTTAAAGGATAGGTTGTGGTGCATATGTGCCAGCATAAACATACCCAAAGTAATCTGCTTGGATCCAGCTCTATGCCTTTTCTTCCCTTCAGAGAAGGACTAAGGCATTGTGAGTATGCCTAGGAATAAACGGATTGAGAAGACCATAGGGGGAACCTATTCAGTACAAAGTAACCATGTGCAGCCGTGTCCTAAAAAGCCCTGTTCCACCCCTTTGCATACATGTATTTACACTCCAATGGAATTTCCTCAGTCTGCACTTTATTGGAGAGTGTTTCTAAGGCTCCTACTGTTCTTCTGGATTATACTTTCTCCCATAAAGCATTACTCTAGCTAAGGCTCCTTTTTCATTATCTGAAAGACAGCTCAGTTCATGTTATGCATATTTTTAAGGATGTATTTTGCTTTTCAGAATCTGATTAGTTCTGAAAACCAAACCACGGGCTAGCTGTTGGACAAGGATAATGGCTGCCCAGATCTGGAAGACATTGATCATAGATAGCTAAATTAGTAACACCAGAAGCTAGTTTATTATCTGGGCCCAGTTTTGATGTGTTACAACAGGGCTTTTCAACTTTTTTTGGTCAGGATACCCCCGGCAACTGGGCCCCTGGTGGCTGGTCGGCGAGTGGAGGGGGGGATCCCCTGTGCGGCAGTGAAACTGGAAGTGCCGCTGGCTTCTCTGTGCCACTGCTGCGTACCCCCTGAGGCCTTCCAAAGTGCCCCCAGGAAACACTTACCGTAGTTGAAAACCCCTGTATTACAGTGTTACAATGTGTTCTAGTCTTTGCCTTCTGATCTATTCTAGTTTTAGGCCTTGACTCAAAAAAGCATCCTTATTCCTTAAGCACATGTTCAAGTATGGTCCTTGGTTGAGGCCATATGGCAGTGTAAAAGAAATCAGAATCAGGTCTTTTGTGTAATGAGTTTGGTCATTTTTCCTTGCTTTTAGATTAATTACTGATGAAGGCATGAAATGATTTAGGACAAGTAAAGAGATGGCAGACCACTTTAGCTAATCAGGTCAAGATTAGTGCAATAATTATTAATTCTTCATGTCTACTGTCTGGATCAGAGTTGTCTCTTGATCAGCTACAGGCCTACCACTTTCACTTTGTTCTCCTTGCTTTCTGCAATATAATAGTTATGGTCACTGGGTTTTGACTCCCATCAGTAAGAAAGAAAACTTTGGAGTAATGCTATTTGAAAGATATTGGGCCAGATTTACTGGTACTCCTGTACCCACTATAGCCTGAGACAGTTTTTCTACTTGAATGTTTTTCACTTGAATGGTGTGTTCTGCTATCTGAGCCACATCTCCTGAAACAGGATGACAAAGGTTTCCTTAGCTACTAGTAAATGGTGTTTTGTTAATGTACGAGAATGGTGTTTTGTTAATGTAAGAGACCTAATTTTGCTGTAAGGCAAAAAAAAGATATTCTCTCCTTCAAGATGGTGTTAGAAGAAATTTTGGAACCAACACAGTGTTTCCGATAGTACTGTAATCTGAAAACTCCATTATCTATCTGATTATCCCTGTTAAGGATAAAGGAGAAACTCCCTTATGGGAAGACTTAGGAGCCAGCTAATTCTTTTTGCCTCATATTCTGGAGTTGCTCATATGTTGGGTCAAATTCTGCTTTGATTTACACAGTGGGAGTGTCTACATGTGAACATATGGTGCCATTGTTACTGTACCATCATTACAGCCTGTACTGCGCTGTGCCAGCCACGCATGGTTATTTTTAGCTGCTACATCGCCATAGCAGTGCACTATAATGAGGGCGTGCGTTGTTACGGAGATGTAGATGCAGCATCATGGTTTTTGCTCATCAAAGCTATGCTGCTGTAGTGCATTGCCATGGCGACAGTGTCATGTGTACACGTGCCTAGTGTAGATTTCATTTATGTCAATGGCTTTGACAGGATAAATCAGGGCATTTTGGGTAGGGCGAAACATTCAACCCCACTAACTGACCGTGGAGCTGAAGTCCCATTTTCAAAAATAGTTTAAATGCTTAAGGCCTGGATGCTCAAAGGCATACCGTTTTGCTTCATGCAGATCTCCTAATGTCAACATTGGTGGAACATGCATGATGAAGTGTTCTTATAAGCTGGGAGAGAGACAGAAATGCAGAAAAGAAATAATTTTCTTGAACTCCTTCCAAAGACACATTCCATTTGAGATTTGCTCTAACTGTACCAAAGCTCTCCTTCCTCCTGATACACAGGTGTTACCCCTCCCATTTCCTTGCCTATCCTCAGCTTGAGCATTAACACCAAAATGAAAGTTTGGCTGTCTGGAACTTGCATGTGATAGCTCTTTAAAATTAATGTTTGTGAAACAAAACACAGCAGAGTTTTGGCTTTGTTTAGGCATCTGGTCCAAGTACCCAGATCTTCTGAGTACCCATCTGTGAAAGGGGATTTGCTGCACTTGTTGAGCTCAAGATAAAGTACCAAAATAAACTGGATGTAATGCCAGATGTGAGGTCATCACTTCCATAAAGTCAATGTGACTTTAATGCACTCTTTTTGCTGATGCAGCTACATCCATCTCTTCAATATTTCTCAATAAAAAGTAAGTGACAAATTTACAAACCTAGAACTTTCTTCTCATTGCTTTTCTAGTGTTTTCCTTTTAAAAGTTTGATGCTCAAGGTAGATTGTGGGCCATTGGTCTGCTGCAGGCTATTTTGGGTTGGGGCATTCTGTACTCCTCTTGGGGAAGCTGTTCTGCTTTGTGTGGTAGTAGTAAAGATTCACTGAACCAGGGAGAAAATGCACAAGGTTGTACACGAGTCTCTGTGCACATTCGCTGTGTGTGAGCTGGGGAATAGAAGGGAAGCTCTGGGTTCTAGCCCTGGTCCAACAAGTTACGCAAGTATCTAAAGTATTCATTAGTGCAGATGCTGGAACCCCCCAGCATAAGTGCCCTAACTACTAGACTAGCAACACATGCTTGCATGTAATTGCTTTTCTCCACTCTCCTCTGGTCTGCATGCCTCATTAATTGCATGTATTTGCTTTTCTCCCTTCTCCTCTGGTCTGCATGCCATCTCAGGTAGCCCCAGCATGTGTGTAACAATGGCAGGGTCTGGAGCAATATAGGTAGATGGATCAGAGGGGGACACATATGGTCAAATGCACTTATTCAGAATTTGGAGAAAGGATTCTGCCAAGGGGTGCATATGGACTGAATGTGTCCTCTGGAGTGAAAGAATGACTCTGGCGTCAAAGAGAATCCATTAGATATGGCTCTTTGAACAAGATGGCAGTTTTGAGCGCTCCATAGTCCCTGTGTGTGAGAACGTAGCTGTGGGGGTGAGAGGGTGCCCTTTGGAACCAGACTTTCATAGTTTCATAGTTGGTAGGGTCGGAAGAGACCTGAGCAGATCATCAAGTCCGACCCCCTGCCATGGCAGGAAAAAGTACTGGGGTCAAACGACCCCAGCAAGGTGTTCGTCTAATCTCCTCTTAAAGACCCCCAGGGTAGGAGCCAGCACCACTTCACTTGGAAGTTGGTTCCAGGTCCTAGCCGCCCTGACTGTGAAGTAGTGCCTCCTGATGTCAAGTCTGAAACTTCTGGATCCCCTCTCCCCTGCATGCCATGAGAACAAGCCCAGAGTAGAATCAGGCTGCAGTGTGGACTGCTTTAGCGTGGGGCAGGCCCACTTATATCTGAAGAGGTGTCAGAACCATATTCAAAGGAACGGCTTGTTCAAAGGGAACATCGATCCTCTTTTGGCCTCAAGGCTGAGATTAAGTTCAGTGCCAGAATGTCTGTTTAAGGATGAAGATTTGCATCCTTCTCCTGACTTACTTACACCTGCCTTCTGGAGTGTGTTTTACCAAGCCTGGTTATACCATGGGAAGGATAGCAGTGGTTTGGCTTGCCAGTAGTGATCCACCACAGCTCTTGATCCACCACTGCAGTACTGCTCTGAGCATGGAAGACAAGCTAGCAAGGCTGCTGGGCTAGGGACAGACATTCAGAAAGCCTGAATTGATTCAATCTTTGCAGATTAGTCTAACCTGGCTAGGCTGAATCACTTTGTAACTGCACTGACATCCCAGAAATACAGGCACATGCCTGCAGTGGCTCAGGCTAGAAGCTGGGGGCACTAGAGCAGCCCTCCCTTCCTTCCACAATGCTGAGCTGATAGGGGTGTGGCCAGACCCAGCAGGATTAGGGAGGGGTTCTCCTCACTGCCCCCCCTTGATAACAGAGCATTTATCAGCTCTGTTATCCACACTTATCTCCCCATCAGAAAACAAAGTCTCTCTCATTAGTTCAAAATCTTCTTAAACAAAGAAGGAATGGAGGGACATTACCAGCTGAGCTTTGATTAGCTCCCAAAAGCCATAAGCCAACACTGCTGTTTGCCACGGCACAGACCCGTACCCAGCATGTGGTCTGCTAGCTAATGCTGAGGTGTCTGTAACGCAGAGGGGATGGGGATCCTAGCTTAGCAGGAAGTGGGGAGGAGAGGGGGAAAGTAGGAGGAAACCAGGCAGATGTTGCTGCACCTGCAAGTCTCTGCCGAAGCTGCAGCCAGGGAGCAGAGGGGAGGGACCAGCCCTGCTGTGGAGCAGAAAGCCCCATCCAGCCCAGAGAGCATCCCGGGATGCTGGGGGAATCTGGTTTATCTTAAACCAGCAAGGGTCTGGGACAGACATTATATAAACCGGTTTGACCCAAATCAGTTAAGCCTGATACTATTTTCAACCAGGTTTATCTCAAACCAGTTTCAGCCACTTTCAAACCAGTTTATGTGCACTGAGCATCTGTTCTGTTACAGGTTTAAACTAGTTTCTGATCACTTAAACTGGTTTATGTCTAGTGTCTGTCCCTAGCCCTGGTGACCCAGCAGTCCAGTGAGGTGGAGATCTGGAAATGGAAATCTGGGGGTGGAAATCTGAAAGTGGAGATCTGGGGGGGTGTGCATCCAGGGAAAATGAACCAATGCAGTGGAATCTTGCTAAGATGATTTCAAATACCCTGCTAGGCTAAGAACTGTGTAGGACAATTATTTGGTGAATAATTTCAATAAAAGATATAGTCAAAAAAGTCATAAGCTGCTTCTGAGAAATTCATGAGCAGAAAAGAAGCAAACTCCGTTGAATAAATCATTCTCTGCAGATTATTCACTCATATCTAAATATAACTCAGCTCTCTCGGCGAAGCGCCCTTTCTGTAATACACAGCACTAATTACCGTACTTTTTTATAATATGTATGTCATGCCTTGGTGTCATCAGCTCCACACAAAACAAAGATTACACACATTGCCTCTCCGAATGCCTAATCATGTAAAGGTGGCCAGCGAATCAGTCATGGGCGAGCAGCTCAAAAGCGGGAGGGCGTGATAATTATTGCTGACGAGAAGGCGGATTGCTTGAAGATGCTAAGTTCAGGGGGGCTCTGGAGGAAGGGATCGAACTGTTGAATGCAGGCAGGCTGTTCCAGCATTAGGGGAGGCATACAGGCAGGGAGCAGGTGAGGCAACCATGTGAGCCAGAGCTGAGGGAAAGCATAGTGGAGAGAGTAAAAGCAGGAGTTAGGTAAGGGAGAGTCTGCTGAGTGGGAGTGGGATGTGGTGAAGGGCAGGAGCCCAGCTGAGATTTTTGGGGAGCAGAGGGAAGAGCCACAGCAGCTGCACTTTGGCCAGGCTGGACAGATGCCAAGGTGGTGAGCCCAGGGGACGGTGACAATGAGGCCTGGCAAGGAGCTGCTGCCAAAAGAAGCTATTGCAGTCCATGCCAGTCTGGTCTGTGAGGAGAAAGGCGGCCCAGATTCAGCAGGTTGCACATCCTCTGGGGCAGGGATGCTGCAGAAGTATAACAAGGCAGCCCAGGGGCAGCAGGATACATGAGGGCATCAGTGATTTCTGGCTGCCATGATGTAGCTAGTGCAATTATATGGCTGTGGTGGCAGTTACAGTTTTTCCACACCCCTTCCCTCTCTTCCCTGCCACAAATGGCACCTAGGGCTGCTGCCCCTATTGCCCCACCCAGCAATGCTGCTGTTGCAGAGGGTGCATTCAAGGTGCTTGGGTTCCTCAAGCTCTTACTTTGGCCATTCAGGCACAGTGTTATTGTTTCCCTTCAGGTTGAGCCAGCTTGTTTCCTCCTGAGTACAGGCTGCAATATGTTCTCCTGGCCTGCCTGCCTGCAGGCGGTATTCCTCTTAGGGAACACGATAGACCAAAGTTGTGCCACCTGCATTCATGGCCTCCTCAACCCTAAGTCTGGTCTAAGGTGCTGACTTCAAATTTAAGGCCGTGATTGAGTTGGGTACTGTTTACCTCAGGGGCCACCTCTGTGTGTGAGATTCAGCGGGAGCCGAGACCATGAGAATGTGTTGGAGTTACGCTATCCTGGGAAGGTGCATGACACCAATACACACATGGACTCCCAGCTCTCTCCTTTTCCCTTCTAGGGTCTGGACTTCTGTACTGCAGAGCTTACATCCCTTATTGGCTTGCCTGAACCTGAACCTGTGGACTCTTGAAACACCAGGTGAAGCCTGCCTGTCCCACTGGAGGATGAGGAGGCAGAAGAAGGGAGAGGTGAGAAAGCCTTAGTTTGGGGAAAAAAGGATCTATTGGACCTTGGGACATGTGGACCTCATGCTGGATTGGGGCAGGATGGAATGAGTGGTCTGTCTTGGAGATGGAAAAGAAGCCCATCTTAGCCCTGCTTAGCAACTTCTCAGGTGAAGGGAAGGCTTTCTAGCTGCTAGGGATGAAAGAGAAAAGAATTAATGGGGTTGCTGCCCTATCATGGGGATCTTGGGTCTCAGAAGGGATGTGGGCCATCCTAGGAGCAAAGGAAGTTCACTTCCTTTGAATAGCTTCATGGAAAACGGTGCATCGTTTCAGCCAGCCAGCCAGTCTTTGGTGAGCAAGACTTTGAAGTAGAGACTTCTGAGAATGAGTTGGTACATTGCCAGCCCCTCTTGGTTCAGTCTAAGAAGTCCTCCATGTTGTTTTTCTATGCAGGTTTTTTTTAAAAAATGTGAGACTTACTTTATCCAGAATATTTGCAAGAACCAGAGACTGTTGCAAAAGCAAAAATCAAATCATGTTAATTTTCATTGTATTTCTCAGTATGCAGATTTAAGCAGCCAGGAAGAGGAGGGTAAGATAGCCTTAGCAATATGCCCCCTTCAGGAGAGAGAAACAAGGGGATTGTGGCTACCATCTTTGGCACAAGGAACAAGATTTCAAAAACCCCTCTCATAAGGGCCAGATTCTGCCATTCTTCATGCTGAGCCATGTCAGCGTGTGAGCAGTTAGCTCTGAGTATTGACTATATGAGGAGCAAGCTCTAACCGGTTCTTTGCAAGGGAAGAGACAGAACTGGGCACAAATTCATGCGGCTCCAGATTTGGGCTGGGGTGACTCTTATTTCAAGGGAGCAGCTCTAGTAAAGAATCAAATCCTGGATGTTTATGGGGAGGCCCAAAGTTTATCCTAACACAACTAGCAACTGTAAAACAGTGCTGAGAAATATGAGGTGGAAGACAGGCTTTCTGAGGATTTAAGAACAAAATTTCACAACAAGGGGAACAAACAAAGTTTTCCAGACATAAATGTTGTGCAGGAATAAAGCATCCTGGCAGTGGCTCGCACTTGGCATTTGAAGCAGTAAAAACACTCATACTTCACAAAAATAGACTCTGGTATGGCCTTAAAAGCTTCCCAAGTATGCCTTTAAAGTGGCTTTTGTAACAGTTACTGTGTATTGCTATGAGCACAGTATCCATGTTTGAGTGCAGGATCATAGCCATTGTTCAGCCCTGAATTTGTGCTTGCCACGCCAGTAGGACTGACTAGTGTACAGCAAAGGGGGTAGGAAAACAAAAGTTCTCCCTGACTGCAGCCTTATCTCCTCCCCTGCTAAGTCCCATCAACCAGTGTGCCTGTGCCTTACCACCCTATTCTTTCCTTCCCCAATTACTCCAAGGAAGCAGTTTTTCTACTGGAGTATCTGTTAATATCTGTGCTTACTTTGGTCTTCATCAGCAGGATACCGGAGCACTGCACATTCACAGTGGACTTTATCTTCACAGCACCCAGGGGAAGGAGGGTAAAACTATCCTGAGTTTGTAAAGCTGAGGCATAGGGTGGATTAAATGATTTACCCAAGTTCACAAAGGGAGTCTGTGGTAGAGTCAGAAAATAGCCACAGATCATTTGATGCCTGCTTAATTGCCTTGCCTCTGAAAGTATTGGCGGGACCTGGCCCACACTGTGTATTTATGTGGTTTGCATACCAGACCCCAGAATCTGAGCTTTCATTTTAATGTAGCATTTCTCTACCATCCCTGGCTACCCGGATGGCCTTCTAAATGTAGTGAAGTCTGCTTGACGGAGCAGGAGGCAAAACAGGTAGAACTTATCCATCCTTTGTTCATCTGACTGATGCATCATTGTCAACATTAACTGTTTAATTGCTTGCCATTTTCAAGGGTGGAACAAGGGACGGGTGACAGATGGGAGTAGAACCTGGGCTCATGGAAGTCACTGGGAGTTACTTGTATCTTGTGGTGAAAGAAGGTAATCCTGAGCAGGCAGGAATGGAGGGCCCAGAGCAGAGTCCGTCTGAAAAAGCATGCAACTTCCTCCCCCTTGGCAGTATGCAAAATTAAGGAAGAGTAGGGTGAGATAGTCCTAGCAAAATGCCCCTTGTCCATGTTTCCCTTCAGAGTTAATGTGCCAAGTCCGTGGGTTTGATAGCTCTGTTGGCAACATTTAGAGCATCTCCTCTGTTCCTTGAGCCAAGAATTGAACCTTGAATTCCTGATACCCCTCATTTTGCTGCTGCTGACAAGAATTGTGTAACCTAATGGCAAATTTTGGAGATGTTTGTCTGTGTGGAGAATAACAAACTGTTTCTACTGCCAGTCACCCCATTAATGGCAATGGAAGAAATCTGTTGTGGAGTCTGAAGGTCAAGCTACGCAAGAAAGCAATTGTATTTAAGCATGATGCAAGCAGAAGGGGAGGGCAGGAGTAAGATGACAGGCGGACTTAAAACTGTTTTTCCCCTAATGTTTAGTGTTTGACTTTGCAACTTAATTTCTTTTAACAAAGTATTTTGTATTCAGCATATGGTAACTATTTCAGGTTCTTCATAATAGCTGATGGGGATATCAACAGTGAACATACTTTCTATTTCAAACATTGCTTTTAGAAATGGAGTTGAAAGTGGTGTAAATATTTGGATTTATGGTTTGTGGGTTGATTAATGGGACCTGTTCCTTTAGGAACAGAAAAGGGAACTTAATTATAAGGTACTTTTGTATGAGACTGAGAACTGTGAGCAAGTTCTAGCCAAGGCTCTCATGCTACTGCCACAAGTTATGAAAAATAAGCTGAAGCAGCCAGCCAAACATAATATCCTTCCCATGTGGACCTAATGTACATCAAAAACATCTTCTGCAGCAGCTGTGCAGAGAGAAGCACCTGGCAGTAGGTGCTAAGTTAAAGAACAGCAGAGTGAGGCACACTTGGCTCTCCATGCCATGTATACACCTACAGAAGGGAGCTGTTGTACCTCAGAGACTTGCTGAAGTTGGTGATTACCTGAGGAGTTCCCTCTAACAGAGCAGTAAGCATTACATCCTTCCACTACAGATCAATAGGAGATGTCAGGCATACCACTGGATATTAGTAGTAGAGAAGCACGTATTAGCCTTCTGCTCTTTGCAGACACAGGAGAGCCTAAGGGATTCTTGTTCCACCTTTTCAATCAGCAGAGGGTCAATACTTGCCATTTTCAAGTGAGGGAGGAGATCACATGCTTTTTCAGACTGACTATGCTCTGAGCCCTCCATTCCTGCCTGCTCAGGATTACCTTCCTTCACCACCAGATACAAGTAACTCCAGTGACTGCCATGGTACTTACTCACATCCTGTGGTGGGGGAGCTGGCTCCAGGAAAGTGCCAAGATCAGCTCATTTAACTCTTTGGTGCCTGTGCTTCTGGTAAGTCTTCCGATGGAAATGAGCATTGCACTGGGAAACCATGAATACCTGGATGAAAAGAGCTGGCTTTGACACTTTCCTGTGGTGCAACATTATGTTTATCAAAGAACAAGCTAGGGAAATGAAGGATTAGTCTTGGTCTGAATGGCTCTGATTAGTATTAGAATCAATATGCTTCAATCCCCATCTCTCTCTCAGAGGCCAATGAACACAGACAAAAGCCAAAACTGAGTCTGGTGTGCCAAGCAAGTCACCAATGAAGTAGAAATCACACTGGTAGGAATGCACTCATCCAGCAACATGTCATAGAGACAAAAGAGAAGGACATGAGCGGAGATGGGGACAGGTGGGAAATGGAAAAAGGAAAGGGAGAGAGAGAAAGAAAGAAAGAAGGTAGTAATGGTCCCGAGTTCAGTAATAAAAAAGCTCAGGATAAAGACCTGAGTTATAGAAACCAAAACAGATACCCAGGAAACCAAATATAAGAGAAGCAGTGGGAGCAGGACTGAAGGGGACCCCCCTGTGCTTGGTATTCTTCCAGGAATGGGTCCATACCATGTTGCCCATTGACTAATGCCAGCATTGTCACTAGATGCTGTTGCTGGTCCTATGTGATATGCCTCTGGCCACAACTGCTGTGAAGCACAGGGAGAAAAGAATTCCATGTAGTTTCCTTGGAACCTCTATGTGCTATTCACCTTTCTAATGTCTGGTCGAGAGAAGACTGCACAGGTTCTGTCCCATGGCTTTACCATCTTTTTGCCTTGGCACCAGGGGTGATGTGTAGGGAGTGCACGCAAGTGTGCATGCACCTCCTGAGCATGGCAGTGTACCCTCTGCAAAAAGGCACTGCCAACACTGCTGGTGACACCTGTGGGCAGTCGCTGCTCACCACCCTGCCGCTGACACTGCTGGCGGGAACTCCCCGATTACCGCCGCTGCACTCCCACCACCACAGTGCCACCCCAGCCACTGGGGGCACGTGCCATTCATGTTTGGCATAGTATTACCCAGTGGCTGTCACCCTCTCTGCATGCAAAGGGAGCACTTTTATGCAGCCTGCACTCCTTTTCCTAGCACACAAATATGCCTCTTCCTTCACTAGGACCAAATATCCATGGGAAGATGGTCAGACATCAACTGTATCAAACTATTTTGCCCCTGCTGTCACCTGTACCCAGTTCTGGCACCAGTGTTGCCTCTCTCACAAGTGGTAACATGACTAAGGCAGTGGTTCCCAAACTCTGACAGATTGCGCACCACCCATTTGAAACGATACAACCTTAAGTACCACCAGCAAATTTTTGTCATATAAAGTCATTATAATAAATCTGTTAATGTGTACCACTGACAGGTTGTCTGCATCCCACTGGTGGTACTCGTACCACAGATTGGGAACCACTGGTCTAGGGACTTGCAGATGGGCTTTGCAGCTGGTTTTAAATCAGTGGTGTGGAGTCTTGGTCTGTTCTAACTCACTTTATTATTGCAAGAGGCTCCTGGTATGCAGAGCAATCCCAACTTCCCAATACCTTAGCCCCACATCAATGCTGGGTTGACAAGGACCAACCTGCCTCCAGAGCTTATGCGAATCAGAGACTCCTGCTCACACAGCTCTCTCTCGCTCTAAGTTGCCACTATGCAAGATCTTACCTGACTGAAAGCTAACATCACGGTATGTCTTCCCAAGACTCACAACTTGCTCACACATGAAGAAAAAGAAGTTGAAGGATTATGAGTAACAGTGCCACCTAGTGACACCTGCCATAATGGAAAGATGAAATAAAACATCAAGGTGTTGGCCAGGGAGAAAGAGGAAAGACAACCAAACTTTTGATATGGCAGATGAAAGAAGAAACACACACACACATGCATACATGCATGTGTGCATGCACACACACATACACACCCCCCCTTCCAGGAGAATAGGACTGGAAGGGGCTTTTTGGTTAAATGAGACCAGTCTCCTGCTATTACAAGCACCCATGTTACACCCCCCGCTATATGAACGGGCCAAGCCCTGTCTCAGACCTAGTTAGAATTTTTGTTCTCACTACACCTACTGGAAGGCAGTTCCAAGAACCTCTGTCCTCTGATGATTCAAAACCTTCCAATTTCCAGCCTATATTTAGGCATGTCCACTTCTTGAGCCAGCTTTCTCTCTTAGTTTAAATACTTTTTTCTCCTCCCTGGTGCTTGCTCCCCTGATGTATTTATAGACAACAATCACATCTCCCCTCAGCTGTCATCTTGCTAGGCTAAACAAACCAATCCTTTACTCTCTTCTCATATGGTGAGCTCTTCATCCCCCTGATTGTCCTAGTTTATAGATTTGTATTTATAGAAATAGATTCCTTAAGGACTTTAACTCAGTTCCTTTCACGCAGCGCTTCTCCACCCTCACAATTCACTGAGCATTTCCTTTGCAATCTAACACCAATTAATTCTTCCTCATCAGCAGAAATCATCCCTTCTTCTGAATGTCACTGGGCATTTCATTTGCCTGCTGGGTTTGAGTTGGCTTTTGTGGGAGGAAACAAGTAGAACTCCAAATTTTAAATATTCTTTAGTAGACGATAAAAAGGCTCCAGTTTTGACCAGACCCTCCCAGCAGCCAAGAAGCTAGTAGCTCAGTTGTTATCCCTTGCAGTTCTATCCAGTAAAAGATTTCTGAACCACCACATCAGGGAAAGTCAACGTTATTAGCCTGAGTTTTTTGTCCCTCCAAGAATGAGCTGAGCTGTGATCCAAAATCCTAAGAAAGACTTTGACATTTTTGACTAGGTGTATTTCTCTCATTAGTTTTCTTTTTCAATTTAGTAAAAGTGCTAGTTGTTGAAGAAATAACTTGGAATTTAGCTCATAAAGAAGCTCTGGATCTAAGATTTAGTTAAGACAGCCTTCAAAATAGGTATTGAGCTGCATTATTAGGAGGAGTTTAAATGGGGTGATATTATGTTGAGATAATCCCAACCTATTTCTCTGTTTAAAATCATAAAATAAAAAAAATTATAAGGGGCTTGAAGAGCTCTTTGGACATCATTTAGTCATGCCTCCCCCACCCCTGCCCCACATGCATACCCAAAGCAGGAGTATCCCT